GTGTGTGTGTGTGAGTGTGAGAGTGTGTGTGAGTGTGTGTGTGTGTGAGTGTGTGTGTGTGAGTGTGAGAGTGTGTGTGAGTGTGTGTGTGTGTGAGTGTGTGTGTGTGAGTGTGAGAGTGTGTGTGTGTGTGAGTGTGTGAGTGAGTGTGAGTGAGAGTGTGTGTGTGTGTGTGTTTGGTTACACTTTATTTTAAGGTGTTCTTGTTACAGTGTAATTACACATTTAAGTACTGAGTAATATTAATTAACTGCATGTACTTACTATATGGTTAGAGTAAGGATTAGGGGTTGGTTCAGGGGTACTTGCATGTAATTATGCGTAATTTATTGTTATTATAATAGTAAGTACATGTAACGTAACAAGGCACCTTAAAAGAAAGTGTTACCAACATTTTTAATGTTTTGTCTATTGATTATGCTAAGCGTAAATAAGTTGTAAATAAAACAATGTTTACTGCAGTATGTTTTACAAGAACTAAAACTTTCACGTTTAACTTGCTAGCAATTTCTGAATGAAAATAGTTTCTACACCATTTTTCGTTAAAGAACATGTAAGAACTAAAGAACTTGCTTTGACTAATTTAGCCACTGAAGGACTCTGTAATTCGCATGTGCATTCATCTCATTGCTCTTTCTTGACCTCTGTTGTTGTTTGGTTCGGTTTGTGTCGCAGGTGGGTCGCGCGGTGTCGGGATGGGTGTCGCGCGCGGTCCGCAGCACCTCGAGTTCCGCCGCCGCGCTCCCGCTCACCGCGGACGAGCCGGTTACCGAGCACACGCCCGAGGACTGCCCCGTGTGCGCACACAACGAGTGGGACCCGCTCGAGGAGGTGATCGTAGGGAGAGCCGAGAACGCCTGCGTCCCCCCGTTCACCGTGGAGGTCAAGGTACAGAACACACACTCACACTCACACACTCACTCACACACACACTCAAACACACACTCTCACACACACACACATACACACGCTCTCTCTCTCACACACACACACACACACACACACTCAAACACACACTCTCACACACACACTCACACACACACACACACACACACATACTCAAACACACACTCTCACACACGCACTCACACACACACACACACGCTCTCTCTCTCTCACACACACACACACACACACTCACACACACACTCTCACACACACACTCACACACACACACACACACACACATACTCAAACACACACTCTCACACACGCACTCACACACACACACACACGCTCTCTCTCTCTCACACACACACACACACACACTCACACACACACTCTCACACACACACTCACACACACACACACACACACACATACTCAAACACACACTCTCACACACGCACTCACACACACACACACACGCTCTCTCTCTCTCACACACACACACACACACACACACACACACGCTCTCTCACACACATACTTATATGTATACCATTATATTTACATATATTTATTATAGTTACTTCATTGTTGGGGAGAGTAAGTTACATGTAACAGAAGTAAATGTAACTGTAATCTGTTACAGTTACTGAGATAAATGTGTAATTTAATTACAGTTACTTATGAAAATGTTACTGTAAGGATTATAAAGGGGATTACATCTGAATATTTTCACACGCGTGCAGATATTGATTTCTTCTCCAAATTGCATTGACTGCTTTAAAATATGACACTAATGTTTCAGGAGTTTAGGACACAGAATAGAACACATGCTTATTCCATAACTGTTTTATTTCCTATTTTGGTTTATTTGGGTTTGTATATGCTTTATTTTTTAAGATTAACTGTTTTTCCAATGCATTGTTAGATGCCAGTGTTTCCTGTCATAGCTATACAAATATTTGATTTCAAAAACAGTATCATAGCTACTAAACTATATCTTGTTATGATTTTAAATCTGTATTTAAACTCAGAATGATGTCAAAGTAAGAAGAGGTGCTAAAGTCTGATTTTGTGGTGTGCTTTAAAATTAAATTATTACAATATTAATTAAAGTGATGAAGAATTCTGAAAGTCTGACAGTAATCAGTGTTGAGTTCTACTGTAAGATTAATCCTGCCTGCGTTAAATGTTTCGAAATGATTAACAGTTAAAAACATTCATTAGAAATTTAGAAAAGTAATCAAATGTAATCAGTAACATCACTATAAAAAATGATTGAAATAGTTACACTATTTATTACATTTTAAATGGAGTAACTTGTAATCTGTAACTTATTACATTTCCAAAGTAAATTTCCCAACACTGGTTATCGTTATAGTTATCATAAGACTAGTGGACTTTATAAACCATGCAATGAGCAACAGAAGTCCTTTCCATCACATCAGAGAACTGCTAACCTAAGCTGTACTGCTGCTGTAACTGCTAAGCTGTACTGCTGCTGTGTGTCTGCAGGCCAACACCTATGAGAAATACTGGCCCTTCTACCAGCAGTTCGGGGGACAGACATTCCCGAAGGACCACGTGAAGAAAGCAGTCTCTGAAATCGAGGAAATGTGCAATATTCTGCAGCATGAGGGAGTTACAGTGAGACGACCGGAACCCATCGACTGGTCAGTGGAATATAAAACCCCTGACTTCACCTCCACCGGTGAGAGCTGACCGCACACACTCACACACACACACACACTCACACAAGCACACACACACGCACACACGCACACACTCACACAAGCACACACACACGCACACACGCACACACTCACACAAGCACACACACACGCACACACGCACACACTCACACAAGCACACACACACGCACACACGCACACACTCACACAAGCACACACACACGCACGCACGCACGCACGCA